CTAATTTTGTTAAGGGTATCAAAAAATTGTATAAAAAAATTACGAATTCAACGGTATTCCTATTTTTTTTTTTACCTTTAAAAGTGACTGAAATATTGATGAGTAAAGTGGTGTTTTACGGTAAGGGCGACCGCTTTGCTCCGCATCGCGATGTGATGTCACAAACCGACACGTCGAAGCCACCAGTAGCCTTTATTGTTATATTTTTCTTATTCTCTCCATATTTAATACTCCATATTTTTCTTATCATGTTATTTATTTATCAGTAACCTTTATTTTCTGTTTTTTTTTATTTCTGTTATATAACGCTCCTTGGGAATAAAAGTCCGATATGAGAAGATAAAATCCTGTAGATCAAGTTATACCTTAATGCAAAATTTCATCAAAATCAGTTTAGTATTACACGCATTGAATGTTTGCGACCATTGCATTTTCAAAACAGTATAGGTACCAACTACCAACGTAATTTCGCAATCAGTTTATTCAAAAGTAAGTCAAAGTAAAACTAAGACCATATGTTTGCAACCACTGACGAACTACGTAACCAACAAAATTTCTTCACGTGTCAGTAGGTACTAAATAACAGGACGAGTTGATTAATACTCACTGCATTAGTAAGTTTAAGTAAGTTTTTTCAAAAAAGCTTTTAGAAAAATTTACTTCGCAAATATCCGCGTTATAAAATAAAATGATGTGTCTTAACTAGTATGAAGAAGCATCTCCCGCCCTCCCTCAATTGCGTGCACTATCCCCGTCACCACTAATCCCAGCACCGCTACTCCCAACACCATTACACTAGGCAAGACACACCACTGACGATAATACGACACGTGTTTCGCCTCTACACGAGGCATCCTCAGGTGATATAGTTTCTACGGTGGCTAACCGCTAAGATGGTCTTATGATCTAAGATGATCTTAGCGGTTAGCCACCGTAGAGTCTATATCACCTGAGGATGCCTCGTGTAGAGGCGAAACACGTGTCGTATTATCGTCAGTGGTGTGTCTTGCCTAGTGTAGTGGTGTTGGGAGTAGCGGTGCTGGGATTAGTGGTGACGGGAATAGTGCACGCAATTGAGGGAGGGCGGGAGGTGCTTCTTCGTACTAGGTAAGACACATCATTTTATTTCATAACGCGGATATTTGCGAAGTAAATTTTTCTAAAAGCTTTTATATAATGGATTTCCGCAAAGTAACGCCTGATTCTATTAATTATAAGTTTTTTCATTTTATGTCGTTGTAAATCATGTGCTACTTCATGGTTCAGTCAGTTAATACCTACCTATGTATTACTGCCTAGTTACTAATAAATGGTAAAGCTGTATACTTTACGTAATCTTTTATTAGTAACTTACTTTTAGAGCTTTATTTCGTGAATTTCTGATGATAAAAAACCGTAATTTTCTGAAAAATACTGCGCAACCATAATAATATCCACTTTTGGCAGATTAGCTGACTGTCTTTTTTCAAAGTCCGCTTCCATTTCCTTTTTTATGCAGCACTACACATTGTGGCTATACATATAAATATATAAATAATCATATAAAGCTAAATGTTCAATACTTTAGTTTATAAATCGAATCAAATAGTTCATTTGTGATTCACAGTTTACAAAATGGTCTTATTTAAACACAAATAAAGTTCAGTATGTGATCAGCCTCATGGGCATACAAATGTCAAATATTATTTATAGCTCATTGATTACATTATTCATAATAATGGATTAGATTATTAGATTAAATTATTCATCATAAATAATATTAATTACATTGGATTAGATTATTCATATTAGATTAGATTATTCATAAATTATTAGTTCAAAATTATTATATAGTCGTTGGGTTTATTATAAGTATTATATTACCTAATACAGTCAACCGGACATTAACTCTGAAATTCGATATAATATGTAGGTAAACGACCGTATACTTCCGAGCGCGCGGTTAGTACTGCACTTAGCAAGTACTTACTGCGCGTTCGCTCTGTCGGATTGTGACGTCACGTCACAGAGAACGAGCGGGTAAACATTTTAAAAAATTGCGAAACTTCAAACCGTTATAACTTTCGTATTTCTACACCAATTTGGATGAAACAAAAACTATTGTTATTTTCATAAACATAGCTTTAAAGCTATGTAGGTTTTATTGCCAAATTAGAACATGTTGGTGTGACCCATTCAGTCGATATTACATAATGAGCTGTGTTTAAGAAAGCTAATTTCCCGCTGGGTTCCCCACAACTTGTCCGAAAAGCAAAAGGCGGCTCGTGTAGATTCGTGCTGGAATACTCTGCAACGCTTCAACGGAGGGAAGTCAAATGCCGTTTATAATATCGTCTCAGGTGACGAATCATGTATTTATTTATAAGAACCTGAAAGAAAACATCAGTCAGCAGTTTGGGTCTTCCAAGATAAGGTCAAACCAACAAAAGTGATTCGCTCCCGCAGCGTGTCAAAGAAAATGGTCGCTACGTTTGTCTCGAAAAAGGGGCATGTTGCTACAATTCCTTTACAGGAACGCAGAACGGTTACCGCTGAGTGGTATATCACGGTTCGTTTTCCAGAAATAATAGCCGAACTCCGAAAAAATAACCAGAAACGTCGCATCATCTTACATCACGATAATGCGAGCTCTCATACGGCTCGGAAGACAAATGATTTTTGAAGCAGGAAAACGTTGAGCTGATGAGCCATCCTCTGTATAGTCCTGACCTTAGCCCAAACGATTTCATACAATCCCTAGAATGAAAGATTTATTACACGGTCAACGGTTTGAAGGCCCCGAAGCACCTGTGGAAGCGTACAAATCAGCTATTTTGTCAACATCAACTTCAGGCTGGAATTACTGTTTTGATGATTGGTTTGCACGAATAGAAAAGTGCATTAAGTTGAACGGAGAATACTTCGAAGAACAATAAAATACAATTTGGCTATACTGTGCAATTGGTTATTCTTATTCCCGACCATTTCAGTGTGCCCCACGTATTCTATTCCAAATCTGCCAAATCTTTATGGCAAAAATCGTGGGTAAAAGAAAAAGTTAGGTAAATATACAAACCATTTCTATTACTAAAGCCCACATCAAATAACCTAAAATGTATTAAAATAGTAGAAAACCACCGCATGTGATCACGCTGCTTCGCAGGATACTTTTGAGACAAACGTTCAAACTTATAAATCAGCATATTTTCACCATTTCCATAGAAAATTTATTGTACAAAAGATGATATACTTAAGCCACTACCACTGCATGGGTCGCATTAAATGATTTAAAAGGTGATATCCGTTTGCAAACAATAAACATTTGAGGTCAAAGAGTACCATTCCATGTTATTCATATTTTATTTAAATATTGAAATACAGAAGCGGAACACAAAAATATACGTAAAAATATTGTTGATAGTAATGAAATAATTTCAAGCTTTCAAGTGAAACTGAAGAGTAGGTTCTATAAAATACCCTTTGGCGCGATGATTCACATTGATCTCACAACCCCATTGACGAATTATTAAATTACGCTCGAAATTATTAGGTTACCGTGCTTATGAATAAACAGCATCTTTATCGGAAAAGACAATTTGATTACATAATTTACTATTCAAATTGCGATCCCATTTTACATAAATTTAAATTTAAATTAATCCGTTTGATCTAAAATACTTAAATGTAAAGATTTTATCACGTTTAGTCTTTTTTTGTTTGGTTATGAACTCGTGCTGTCATTGTAAAAAAAAATAGTTTATTTCAAAAACTTCTTCACAACATGCTGATGCGTCACATTGCGAAGTTGTACAATAATATCTCAACTTTTAAAGACGATGCTAAGCGATGCTGCGATGTTAAAATATAACTCAAGTTTTTTTCTTCACAAATTTAAAATCTAGTTATAGTTTACAAATACTGTTACATAATACACAAAATCGCATCACTTTTACATGTCAAAATCCACTTCAAACCATTAATTAAACGATAAAACAGGAACAAACCGCCGTCGGTCAAGCTCCTGTTTGGCTTTTGGTGTACTAAAAAGCTCTATCCGTTAAGTGTTATTAAATTACCCCAAGGAAAGAAAAATATTATAATCCCGAAAATAGAAACAGCAAATGATATTAACTTCTTTATTCATAAAGTATTGCCATAACTAAAAGCAGAGGTTTTATTTTGACTTTGTTTTGAGGATCTGGTGAAAGCATAGACCATTTAAACGATCTATGTGAAAGCGTAATACATCGTTTTTAAAAAATGCCTGTGATTGTGCGTGTGCATGACTGCATGAGCGTGTGCATGTGTTTATACCTACGCTAGAGTGCGTGTGTGTTATAATTTTTACATGTATTGTGTTAAATATTTTTTTAAATAATTTTACTCTATCACCATAAATTTCACATTTGTGCTTACAGTTACATTAAAAAAAGATCTAAACCTTCTGGGCGGCTGCATAAACAAAACAGGCTCATTATGGAATTTCCCTCAACCATCCAGAAGACGATGATAATTTCAGGCGAAACAATCCACTTATCAACCAGAAACTTTCATTTTTTATAGTGTCATAAGCATTTGAGCAAACTCACGCTAATTTTGGTATATTCAAAAGTTCCATTGTAAAGACTATGGCAGTAAAAGGGAAGGACAATTGCATCCATAGTTTCAAAACTAACAATCGCGAATATAGTGTGACACATATAGTTCTGTCTATATATTAGATGTCACGCCGGTTGAATATTTTGTCTATTATGTCACATCAGATTTCTGTACACATTTATAAACAATATATTATTGTTTTTAAACATTAATAACATCGCTGAATATTACACGATTATGGTAAAAGAAATGCTAGGGCTATCTTCTCCTTCTTCAACGCTGCCACAAATTAAACATTGAAGTAAGAAATATTATATTTAGCCAAAATTTCAAAGAAATACGTTTCCTTCTTGTTAGCATCAATGCCGTCTGAAGCCGAAATAAATGAAGCTAATGATGTTCCCTTGGTAAGACAACTTGTTTTATGTGAGAGTAAGCATTTGAGAATGCTGAGTAATATGCATACGGCCTTGACGCGTGGCCGGTTCACTGCGAGTTTTAATCTTACAACGCAAGAGTTGCAACGTATTATCCCACAAACGTGTCTGCTCTTCTACTGCTCCTTGTCGAGAACTGATCGCACTTTGTTCCTGTAATTACACATTAAGTTTTATTTCCATTCTTACTAAGATAATTTGTAATGGCAGAAAAACGAATAAGTTTTATTATTTATGGTACTCGCCTATATACAGTATAACGAGTCATGATAGCTCTGCAGAATATCCCTTAAATACGAAGTGGTCACGAAAAACTGGAGATACTCCTGGTTAAGTAATTTTTATGGTAAATATCTATATTATGATAGTCATCACTTTATGGTATAAAATTCCCCAGACGTCTAGTACTTTCTTTAACAATCCTACTTACAACGAGAAAGACAGATGTCCAGAAGTGGAATTTTTACGGGCTGATGACAATTATAAAAGACCTCATTTTAACATAAGCAAAGAAAACTTACTTCTTCTAACTGTTTGACAATTTCCTCTAAATCGTTTACTTTCTTTTTCAAACTTTCCATTTTTGACGGTTTACGTGGGGACTGCATTGAGTTTTTCATCTCCGACATAACATCATCTTGTAAGCTTTCTGCTTTCATAATTTTTTGTCTTAAATTCTTCCACTCGTCTTCCTTACTATTTAACTTATCAGTTAACTCTTTGACTTGATTTTTTAAGGGTTCCATTTGTGACGTAATGTTAATAGAGGTCGCTTCGTATATTCTTTTTTTCTGTTCGTATTGTTGTTGTACTCTCTGATACTCTTCTTTTATTGGCTTGATTTTATCAGCAAGCGGTTGAATTTCCAGTCGAACTTGTGATAGCTTTTGAACTGTTTGGGCAACCATCTTTAACAAAAAAGCCTAATGTATTTCAAAAATATATAACATTAAATAAGTATAAATCACATAGTTGCCCACTTGCTTTATTTTTTGTATGTTCCTACCAAATTAATTAACTGAGTATCGAGGAAGAGCCATATATGATAAAGCCTTGCTGCAGCTACATTAAGGTTGTATCACAAAGGGCTCGACTGGGAAAGGACCTCGCTCTTACAGAATACTGGTATAAAATAGCAGCTTTAAGCAAGCAGTAAACAACCGAAGACCTTTTTTACTGGAATTCAAGCCTTCTATTTTAGTCCTCAGGTGTGAATACTCATCTGCATTTTGATTCTTAATCGAGAAAAGATGAACTGTGTGCTCGTTTGTCATCCCGATTCTATAAAATTAGTTTGCTACTGCTCAAATTTAGCATTAGTGAGGTAGGTAGTAGTTCAACTTAATGGCCTTAAACATCATTAAAACGTAATAAAGATCAAGAACAGCCGTGTGGACTTTGAAAAACCCAGACCGGTAAGTGGATTTTCAATCCAATCAATTAAGACAAGAAATTTTCAATCCTCGGAAATTTAGGTTTTTTTTTCTTAGTTATTACAAAATTAAGACAACAACAATTATATTATAACAAGTTATCCAATAAAACTCTTTGTTATGTTAACATAAAAAGACTTTATCAAATTTTCTAACCTACCTGAGACAAGTCATGTAAAGATTTTTTTGCCATCTCCGAAGATTTATTTTGATCTTTTTCCATTAAATCATCATCGTCTATTTTCATCTTTTTATGATTAACCAAAGCCATTTCAATTGTAGGGTCAGCAATATTAAGTATATGTAAAGTTCTTGATAAGATACCTGCTTCAACCTGTAAATATACAATAATGTAAAAAAATTACAATACAACACGCAAATATGTTAAAACAATAAATTGGACAAAAAATTACAATCACACCTTGAATGTGGACAAGTTCGCCCTCTGCCTCTTGTATAATGTGCTCTTTGTGCGTAACGCACTAACATACTTCTTCAATTCCTCGCCTCTCAAGACCATATCACCAAGAAGCTGCTTAACCTTTCAATTAAAATAAACCAAAATGCAGTGACATTTCATATATCAATCCTAACGTAGCACATGTTGTAATAAGGTATATCTATACATATGTATACCAAATAAATAAATCCATTTTATAGCAAAACTATGAGTGTTAAATGAAAAGGTGATAAAAACTTATTACCAAAATTAATAAATTTTTCATTTTTATTTTAAGCATTTTCCCATATTTTCCCATTTCGAGATTCGAGATCTTTTTCCTTTTCTCTACTTCAATTTTTATTAATGACTTCCTACTTGGAAGTAAAAAGTTAATTACAAAACCTAACACAAATCAAAGTATTTATCAATCTAAAAATATACCGAAAGAATTATCGTTTCCGAATCTTGACCTTTCGGCCTAATGATCGATAACTCGAAATGGAAAAAATATCAGATGAAGACGACGTGCTTAGTAATTATGAGGTTCCTTCTTTTCCAAAATGAAAGAAGACGCTTATCTTCGATTATCATAAATTATATTTACTACATTTAAGTTTTGGTTAATATAGTATAATCTACCTAGCGCTTGCCCCTATAAATCGAGTTGGGATGCTACGTGCGTAGACAACGGTCTCGCATTTCAGAGGCACCTTATTCAGGACCGAGATGGAAACTACATATATTTTTGCTGTTGACTCTACAGCGAACGGCACAAATCTACAGTGTAGAGATTCGGTCCGTGAGCAGAGTCCACGCAAAGTGGTATTTCTAAGTGAATTTGCTACTAGCTGCCACCGGTCTGGTGTCAAGAGGACTGGTTCTTTTCTCACCCAAACATAAAAAACTATATATCTATCAATTTTTGTGCTCATTCGAAAAAGGAGTTTTAGACATTTTTTGTTACCCATTAATGAACCTTCACCTTATTACTCTAAAGATTGTTACTCTGTATGACACATACAGAGTAACAACAGCATTGGATAAGTCGACGTATCAAATAATGCGTGTCGAATATCTCAAAGTTCAGTTGAGAAACCGACAAATTATTTATGCGGAAGTAAATAAAAAATTTTGTTTGTCATGTAAATTAACTGAAATAATGATAATAGCGATAAAGAAACCAAGGTTAAAGAGTTGATAACAAAAAAAAAGATATAGAAGATTCGTTTTCTGACAGGGGTGTCCATTTGGTTTTTAATAACCGGCAAAGTGCGAGTCGGATTCGCGCATGAAGGGCTCCGTACAATCGTAATACACATTTCTAGTTGGGGAGCCCCTTTTAATTTTTTATTTATTTTTAGTTTTATTATTTATTGTTATAGCAGCAACAGAAATAAATATTTTGTGAAAATTTCAACTGTCTATCTATTACGGATTATGAGATACAGCCCGCTGACAGACAGACGGACGGACGGACAGCGGCGGCTTAGTAGTAGGGTCCCGTTGGATACCCTTTGGGTACGGAACCCTAAAAAGTAAAGAGTTTGTTGATCTACAAATACTACCCCAAAGTATAAGCTACAATTATTAAATTGGTTCTATTTTTCCGAATCAGAAATAATATTACAATGAGCGTCACAAATTGTAGCAGTATCAAAGATCTTTCTCGCATTGAAACGAGTAAATAATTACTTGCGCTCAAACGAAATGAAACGAACGCACGAAACTTACAGCACTTGCACTATTATTTCTATAAACGTTAAATATGATAATGTTGTAGAAAGATACGCTAGCAAGAAAGAGGGAAAGTTTTTTATAATATTGTCAATGAATAATAAAGTAACGCAAGCATTTTACTTGTTACTCCTTCTTAATTTTGGTTACAAAATAAATAAATTGATTGTAAAAATAACAGTTTGAATTATATGGTGCTTTTCGTCTTCCGTTGACTGACTGACTGTGATTCAAAGATTTTAAGTTAAACTCTTCTCTTCCGCTAATATCTTTATATATAAAAATTACGTGTCACATTGTTTGTCCGCGATAAACTCCTAAACTACTGAACTGATTTCAATGAAATTTTGCATACTATGTTCAGTTTGAACCACCTTGAGAGATAGGATAGTTTTTATCCCGGTAAGTGACCCTCAATATTTTTATTAAGAATTTTCATAGGACACAGGGTCGTCGGAGAGGGTAGAACAACGTCTGCCTGGCCAGCTAATTTAATTATATACATACATAACTGAAATACTTGATAATAATGAATTAACATAAAATTAAATATTTTAAAAAATCTGATTATGCCTGCTAAACAGATTTCGATAAATCAAGGAGATTGACTGACTGCATTTTCAGGAAAGACCTCAAACCGCGGGGCACAAAGTTAGTACAATCTAATAATCTAGTAAGTATATTTGTGGATTGCAGGCACAAGCAGGACAGACCGTGGGGCGCATATTCATAGTTAGCCTAGGGCAGTCGGAACTATAAATCATGCACTGCATACAACAATCTAGCTTATTACTGTGGTAATATAAGGTACATTTTGTTCGAATAAATTTAATAACTCTTACATATGACTAAACATAAACATATTATATTGTAAGCAGTACATACCATTTAAATGTAAATTTAATTTAATCTTATTTATAAACAAGAGTAATACATGTGTTAATAGTATCCTTACAATAAAACTCATAATCATCTATCTGCGTAAAGACCGTCGTAAACATATAAACACTTACTTGAGATTGTAAGTCTGCTAGTGCAGCTTCATGATCTTTTAAAGCCACTGCTAACTCATTAACGCGCTCAGCACTGGCCTCCTTATTTCGTCTAATGACAGCTGCTTGTTGACGAAATGGTGCAAGTTTATCATCTTGAGATCCTGCAGCTGCTAGACGTCGCTGAACTAATTGTTCTACTTCACTATTAACTGCTGTTATCTGTTTAAAAATCATCTTACTTTGAAACAATTATTAGAAGACCAGGTGATCGCCTATTGGGCAACCAGACTCTAAATCCCATATCAACATTTTAATCGCAAATTACCCATATTACCCTGATTAGCCATAAGCTCGCCAGTGATAAAAAACAGCATTCTAAAGAAATTAATAGAAATAGAAAAGGACAAACATCTAGACTCGGAACAATTATTTATATGCCATACATACTTGTTCCGTATGAGCTTCGAACCCGCGGTTCACATTAGTAACTACATTAAGTCACTACGCCACGGAGCAGTCATTTTTAACAGTATATTTTTAACATAAATCTACTGTTAAAGTTTATGCTGTCTCTACGAACTGGATTATTATAGGGTAAAGGTGCTTAATATGAGATAGGTTCATAATATAAGATAGTTCGGATCCGGTGTTAGCAATTTATGACAAAAGAATAGCACTGTTCCAAGATTAGATGCTGATGATGGCCATGATTATTTGCTACCAATAAAACCGACAAGTGTAGAAGCGGAAAGGGCTTTTTCGGCCGCAGGTTATATTTGTAGCTCCATTAGACTTAGTCGACTGGGAGATGACACAATTTCACTTTTGAAGATCCTTCTTTCAAAATCAAAAGTGATTTTTTGATAATACAGGATTATTTTGCAATTACCGGCCAAATTTGCAGAGAAGGTTCAGTGTAAGTAATATAGGCAAATGGTAAAGAAAAATTAATTTTAAAAAATCTCAAACATTCTGTCATTATTACCACTTAAATTCAAAATAAGTGGTAATGCATTATTTTAACTGACTTTAATTCATAAATATCTACCGGCTACTATTTTATGCACGTACACATTCGTAAGGGTACCTTGTAGCGCATCTCCCCCGATGTTTTTTTATTTACCGTTACATCGCAAATATGTCCGCTCGCCCAGCCAAGCCAACAGCTGACACTGACAGTGTTGACCGTGACCTCATTATGTACGCTTTATTAGCAAAGACGTAATAAAAATATTCGAACCGCAGGTACTATGAAATGGTGCAATATTACAGTGTTTATCGTGTTTGCAAAGACAAGGATTTAACGCACGGGTACCACCAATCGGAGAACAATTTTTGCTGTTAACGAAAGGCTGTTAGTCTTTGGACAGTTCACCACTCCGTCACATGGAAATGCTCGAGGTGGTCTTTCAGCAATAAGCTCGCCTGTCGAAAACATAGTGATCGAGTCAAAGACGAGAAAGAAAGAGAAGATCGAGTTTAGAATTAGCCAGTAGGTGTGGATACTACTGTATCATTTTAAGTGATTGCATATTTAAGTAGTAAAATTATGGTAATAAACATATTACGCCGTTCTACGCCGAAGGGCTTACGCGCCCACGTGATGTCCGAGTCGACTGAGGTCGACACGACAATACTCGGCACTATTCGCACTACCTTTTATTCTGCATAATATTAACCGGTGAAAACGCTCTCAAGGCTAGATGCTACGCTCACGCCGTCTGAGTAAGCGTTATTTAAATCACGTCAACCTATCATCGGCTTCCTAGCTCAGCTATCTTTTCTACAACTAATTATTTACATTTATTCTCCACCTCTTTCATCTCTGTAGTCTAAACTTGTATTACGAACTGTCTCTTGTGTGGGAGTACAAAAATATATTTAATTCGTGGAGTGTAGAATTTTTATTTGCATAGCATCCATCCTACACGCCTTAAATGTAAAAAAAAAATATTTTATTTTTTATGATGTACCTAAGCCCTTTAAATTATGACGGGAAAATTGGAATCATAGTATTGAGCGTGTCATTAAGGAAGTAAATAGTAGGCAAAAGCTCCGTGCATTGACTTGTACACACACGAGCATTCGCCGTTGTTGCCCATACATCACATTCAATTTCGAATATTTTGTAATAAATGTAGAAACCTTATTTAAAACTGCAAAAGTGTATATCAATATTTATATTTTAAACTTAATTATTAAATTTGGCTAGTCTGAAAAATAACCCTGTATAAATACTACAATAATCATTACTTGAAATAATTATTTATCGTAAATTGACTAAATTGAAGAGCTATAATTATAATACAATAAAGATTGTGATAATTGTGCCATTTATTAGATAAATTTATCAAATCATGTAATATGAATTAAAATACATGATTTGATGAATTTGTCTAATAAAAGTAAGATGAATTAAATGAGATTTTATAAAGTTACTGCGAAATTTGGGAAGTGGAAGATTGAACCACTCGTTACGTTGTTAAAATTTTACTAATTACTTACCCTACACTACTAGATTTTAATTGTTTTCTTGTTGTCTAATTTTAACATTGAAAATAAAGTTGATTTTATATACATATTTTTTTTTTAATAAACAACCCATAATAAGTCAAAATACACTCGATTAACTCATTAACAGTTCAATTTGAACCGAAAAGTGGAAATCATCCTAACTTGATCAATACTTGCTGGATCCGGTCGGGTTCGTCTGAATCGATGTACATCCGACCGCATCCGCCTGGATTGAAAATGATACCGGATTGCAGTCCCTAATCCCGACTTTTGTCGGCAATGGATATGAATTTTCGTTCTCAATTGCAAGGTATGTTAAATCATTAAAAATAGGTACATTTAGAATTAAATATAGATTTGTGATATCTATTAAAGAGGGAATTTTAATATTCCGTTTCATTTTATTGTGTTTGTTACATATAACAAATATCACATCAGATATATATACATTACCTAGTTACATGATAATCCCGCACATTTTTGCCCACCGCACCGTTATGACCAACAAAACATAAGATTTACCAAACTGCATGCATCTGTGCGCATCCAAAAGTGCACGCCTCATGAGCGTTTTATTTAATTTTGATGAAAAAAAATTGTGTTCCTTAATTTTAAAATATATTATTTACATATTATAAATTTAGCGCTCTATTATTTTAACAGGAGTGTCACCTACAGGGAAAAAATTAATAATGTTTACCAAAATAAATACACATAAAGTATAAAATCGATAATGCCTTTAAATTTTTAATGGCAATAAAACTTATAAAAGTTGAAAATCATTTTATTAACAAACTACGCGTACTAGGCTATTGATATGAAATAGGGAACATATAATATATATATATATATATATATATATATATATATATATATATATATATATATATAATACATAAAATTACCTTATTACCTGTGATATTTTACGAGAAATACGCAAAAATTAAAATGGTATCACATATTTGGCACCTTAAGCCTATTATAATTCGAAAAATGCTGAATATATCAACCTAAAATGTACACAAGTTTCATCATAATTTGCGTTTATACCGTAATAATAATTAATTTTTGTTTCAGTAATACCTACAACCGTATAAAGGAGAGCGATTTTACAACATTTCTTAATATATGTATGAAAGGAACCACGCCAAATTATTTTCTCCGCTCCAACACCCTCATAAAATTAATGTAGGCTTATGCCCAACCGAATAACGTACATATATTATGGGGTACTATTATTAACATCTACATTATCATATGTAGAACTACAGACTTACCTTCTGAGCCGTCTATGTACTATAATATAAATAAAAATAATTTTTTATCGCGTTTAAAATGAAAAATCCCACGTCCCACCATTATTTAGAAGTTTTATAAACCATTCTTCGAATTTTTCAAAATTCATCTCTTCGTGGTACTTACTACGTCGTCTTCACAGACTTGAATGCCAGTAAACAATTTGGTATAAATCCAGACCAGGTACCATGACTTATGGACAAATCAATAAATCTGAAATTGTATAAAAATCGCGTGTACGAGGTGAGCGCGGTATCAGCGCGGAGCGGGAACGAGGCGGGCGCGTGGTGTGTGCGAGGCGGGCGCGTGGCGGGCGCGAGGCGTGGGCGAAGCGTGTTCGGTTGAACGTCGATAAATGCAATTTCAGATTTATTGATTTGTCATAAGACTCAAATTATATGCAACAAATTTGAAAGCGAGTTAGACGCGGGTGCCCACGCGCGTGGCGTGCGCGTAGCGGGTGCGTGTCGTGGGAACGCGCCCTTAGGATATATTTACGATAATTGTTGGTCTTAATAACCTGATCCTGTATTGCACAGACAAAACCCTCGGTTTCCCCAAAGAGGTCACCGAAACGTAGCCAGTGGAGGGAGGCGACTGTGTCTACGAAAGGCTCATGCAGAGCCTTGTAGAACCTCCCGTGGAGCTCCGTCTCCTTCCATACGGTTTTCCAGTCGGAAATGCTCTGTACTGTCGAGTCTTGCCATTGCTCGTTGGTTAAGGATAGAGGGGTTAGCCCTTTATCACAAGAAATAACGTCCCTGTAGTATGGATCATTCGCTCTCGTCAGAAAGTAATTACGGAGGCTGCACACTTAACACAGCGCGCTTAAAAGGCCGCGCCCACCATACTTATATAAATTATTGGAATTGGGATATATATGTTACAGCTAAAGAAGAAGTGTGGATATACCTAGATTTTGCCGGCTACTACTAGGTGCAGCCTATTGCGGTTGGTTAAACTTAGGTGTATCATAAATAATTTATAAATTAGATAAATGTATGCGGTTTTGCAACCGCACCTTAACCTACTATCGCTGATATTACTTGATACGTACATCCGTGTTTTTTTTAAATTTAACAGTACCTACACATAAATTGAACGAACTACTGCTGGCCGCACCTAGTTCTAGCCGGCAAGAACTAGGTGTAACCGCACTTCGGCTTTCTTTTTGTTCGTAAAAAATTTAAGTGGCTTTCTATTTACCTTCGCCGGAATGCTCATTGTCTCTCTCTTCTTTACACTACATTATATTTAATCCTTCCTAACCATCCTATCTTAAAAATCTCTTTAAATTCCTTCACGATTCAAACTCTAATTTTGAGATCTTTAAAAAATTTAATGCAGTACATACCTATACATAAATTGTTATGTATTTATTTGTTATTTAATTTTATAAATTATATGAATTTAATATTTATAAATATTCTGAATTCGTATCGATTTGCAATATTGTCCATTCAAAGGATGTCTGGACAGAATCGCTTCCAGCGATAAAACGGTACCATTTCAATGACTGTTCTTTTATTTTTTCATCTGGTATTTTAAACTGTTTTTTCTTATTATAAATAAATTAAAATAAATCGCCTTTGATTCGAGTTCAAATAAAATAATTGTTTTCAACTAAACTCGCACAAATAAAGATGAAAGAAGAAAAATAAGTACCTTATCTTGTACGACAATTAAATCGGAGCGACTTGGATGATATTCGGTGGCAATATTTTGCATTATGTTTAGTTCTTTCTGCAGCTGAGAGCTTTCCTGTGGCAACTTTTCCTTTACCAGATAACTGTTTAGCTACAAAAAAAACTTATTGTAAGTTCAAAAAAGTTTTTGCCTAAATTTGGTAGAAGTTATTATTATATTCTACCTGTATTTCTTCTTGCAAACGCTTCAAGACTTCCTTCACTGATTTTGGAGTTGCACTTTGTCCATGTATTATATTTAAGTATCTCTTTAGTTGGTCGGATGCTGCTTTTAGTTGTGATTGCTGCGTCTCAAACTAATTAAAGTTTGAATTTATTTAGTTTAAGTTATAAATAAGTTCGTAAAATAATATTGTGGCAAAATATTCAAAAATGTTTTAAAATCTCAACAGATTACCTGATTTTCTAACTCCTTCGTTCTCTCTTCTTGCAATCTCAGAGCTTTACTTACGCCTAACAAATCTTCTTTATTGTTCACATCGATTAAATTAACTTGAACATTTTCTAACCTTTTTATCACTTAAAAATAAAATAAAATAACAATTAGAGAAATGATATATATATACGCGATCACTACACATTAAAATAAAACTAGTTTTACGGATTTTATCGCGTATATCAACTTATATATTCCCGACGTTTCGAGCACTTTACAGGCACCCATGGTCATGGGGAAAGGGAGAGACTGGACTGTAAAAACTAGTTTTATTTAAACGTTACTGAAAAATTCAATTATTGCTTTTTTGATACAAATTAAAGTATTTCGTACTAAATAATATTTAACGTTTACGTATTAAAAACCAAGATTTAGAAGAAAAACGATTTTCAAACAAGTGTTAACTTGGGTTTGGAAAAATGTTTTTTTTTATATAAAACTAAAGTTACTAGCGAACTTACAGTCCACTTGCAGTTAAGTGACTCCTGCAGCCAAGTTCAAACAAAGAAGGCTACTGTGCGACCTTACCTCTGAGGACTGAGATGGAATGCCTCACTTACACTGCCTGTAATTATACTGGCTCTCTGTAGCCATCAGACCGGAACACAGTAGTGGAAAACTTCAGCGTTCTTTTAACGAAATTGATTCTATAATAGTTTACCATCGCGCTGTCGAGGCTGCGGTAGTGTTTTTTTTATAGAATAAGGATGACAAACGAGCACACAGTCCACCTGATAGTAAGTGGTGGCTGTGGCCTATAGACATCTACATCTATTCTCGATTACGAATCAAAATGCAGATGCGTTGTCACCCGTGAGTACTAAGATGGAATGCCTCGTTTCCAGTAAAAAAGGGTCTCCGGTTCTCTACACTCACCATACGAAACACAGCAGCGTTATGCTGCTATTTTACGCTGGTATTCTGTGAGAGCGTGGTCCTTCCCCGGTCGAGCCGAACCATTGGTGCGAAAACATTCCAACAGCCCTGGCAAAATGACCAACACTGTTGGTGTTCTTTGCTCTCTGGTTCCCTTGGACTACCGAGTATAAAATGTCCATGAGAATTTTTCCGCGTACAAAAAAAAAGTTGATGTAATAAGTAACTGAGTATTTTTGTACGTTATTAAACTTGTACACACCTTCGTTCGTGGCCCTTATAATGCCTTACATGCAGTAACTTCCGACATTATTGTGAAGTTATGAAGGTGGTGGAAATCAGTTAAGAAATAGTCACGATTTAAAAAAGTACAATCCTTTAGTAGTCCTTTAGTAATATAACTGAGTATTTTTGTACGTTATTAAACTTGAACACACGTACGTTCGTGGCCCTTATAATATCTTACATGCAGTAACTTAGCCGAAATTATTGTGACGTTTTGAAGGTGGTGGAAATCAGTAAAGAGATAGTCACGATTTAAAAAAGTACAATCTTTTAGTAATATTTAACCTTACCTATATCCCTTTCGACTGCCATTTCTTTAATATCATTAATTATTTCAGTCGCATTCTCCTTCTCCAAAAGTCGGGTCTTCTTATGTACATCTTTAAATTCATCAATCAGATTCTGATATAAATCCAATAGATCTTGAATAGTATTATTTCGTACTACATCTGGTGGGATTTCTGGTATTTTTAAATATCTAGAAATTTCTTTTAATTATAAAAACGAACGAAAGTATGAAAGGTTTTTTTTTCTTATACATACTTTGCCAAGTAAGCTGTCTTCTTTACTTGTTCTTTATTAGTCAATATCCAATGCATGACATGATGAATTGTTCTGGCATCACCCGCAAGTAACTGCTTTCTGAATTGTGATGGCTCCACATTAGTCGGCGGACGATACTTTATATTTCCTAGCATTTCCAAAAGTCGTACCGATATGGCCTCAGAGTCATCTTCACGCACGTCTAACTGGATAAATGAATGAAAATATACAAATATAAATAAAATGATTAACCATTTTTGACTACCCCACTTCAAGATACATGTTTTTTTTTACTTCCAATTATTAATGAATATAATTGTTTGAGAATGTTATAAAATAATATAAACATACATATGGAAATGTATAATTAGTATTGACGATATATTGTGCGATCGTATTTGTTTAACATAGAAACATACGAATCGTTTTTTTACCAATCTAATCCGGTACTTGCTTACTATCCCATCTGATGGTAAGTGGTGATGCAGCCAAAGAAGAAAAAGAAAGACCGATGCTGGCAAGTTATTCCACTACTTTGCTATACGCATGAAGCAAACCGTTTGGTTCAAATGCGTGTGAAGTCGACAACGAATGCGTGGAGACTGGCTGGTATTGTCTTAGGCCGGTCACATACATACGGAATTCCGTTTCGAGATTCCGTTTCGGAATTCCGAATGGGTCGGCCCACACACATACGGAATCCCGTTTTGCCCGCAAAATTTCGAACGGAAAACTACCGTACGTGTGTGGCGGGTCATAGATTTTATATGGACTTGCTGCGTTCGAGATTCCGAATCGGAATATCGAAACGGAATCCCGAAACGGAATTCCGTATGCATGTGGCCGGCCTAACAACATGTCTTCAAAATAGATCCCAGGGATTCTTGTCGTTCCTTCTCTGATGTAGATTTTGACGTTCATAAGAGCCTTGAACAAGCCTAAATTAAAATCTAATGTTTTTGATTTTGACTAATATTTTAACTTAATAACCAGTAAAATATTATTTTTTTAAATGATTACTCTGAAGGAAATGCTGCATTTAATAGAAATGTAAGATAAAAGGATGCAATATGTGTCAGTAATGTATTATGATGATGCACTAAGCAGTTGCTCTGATCAGTCACATTGTGTTCATGAACTTTCTACCTTAAAAATAATAACTTGGAATTAGGTGATTGAAGTTCTTTGAAAATTGTGTACAGCAAGGATTAGTAACACATTCAATAAAAATAAAAATGAAAGTGAAATAAACATTAGATAAATATAGTAATAAGTCTAATAGATGTATTGGCAATGGAGCCTGGCTGGAATTTGGGTAGATTTACCTCTTTCTTTCATGCAGGAATTTTCGCCATACTTCAGTGTGCGGAAATCAATCTCCAAAAACACTACGTCAACCATATAATCGATATTAACTCTGATAGTCAAGCAGCACTGCTAGCGCTGAGATCAAACTTGGTAAACTCGAAGCTAGTTTGAGATTGAGTGAACCGTCTAAACGCCCTGGTAGGTAACAACAGGGTCGTTTTAAGATGGGTTCCGGGTCACGCGGGTATTGTAGACAAATAAATAGCCGACAAGCACGCACGGGAGGGCTCAAAGAGTACAACAATTTGGACCCGAGCCATTTTGTGGAATCTCAAAAAGCCTCGCCCGATTAACCCTGGAAAGTCTTTACCACAATAAATCACTTAAGATCACCAGGCTTAAAACATTCTAAAACCTTAATCCGGGCTTTCGATCGTAAATTCGCTTCGTGAGCCCTGGGATTAGGTAAAAAAAATTACGTATTCTAGTAAAAGCCCTAACTGGACACTGTTGTCTTAAAAATCACATGTCCATGCTGGGACTAAGCAACTCAACGATGTACCGGTTTTGCTCCCTGAGGAGGAAACGCCTTTACACATCCTGACTAATTGCGGACCCTTAATGCGCAAACGTAGCAGAAGAAGTGAAATTGCTCACAGCTAAGCAACTTCTTCTATTCATTAAAGACGTAGGGCTTAGCAATGAACTATAAACATAGCAGCGATTACAATAGATCTTTTAAGTCGCAGTGATACTGGTCTCTCTCTTTAGACCTGCATAACTGCTTGTACATAAAAAAAATAGTCGGAAGTCGTACCTTTTCGCCAGCTTTGAAGAAAAACAACAAGTCCACAAGCAATTGTAGCAACTGTTTTTCATCTAAAGAATCAAATTTTATTAAATCGTAGTTCCTCCCTAACGTGCAATTTATTTCCTTCACAATAAACTTCATTTGTTCCGTCATTATACAAAATATTTCTTAATCTTACGCAAAAACAATTTCTAACAACTTACGTAACAACGTTTATACGCTTTATACAACTCGTTACCATGGTAATTTTATGTCAACACTGGCCTCTATATATAAATGTAGTGATTATATTCTCTTTGTCTATATATAAGGCTGTCAACAATACTACAAGTCCGCATTTATCTATTGTCTAATTATTACGCATACGCTCTCCTAAACAGTCGCCAGCCGATTATTTGGTTGTGCATTAGCGCCGTATAGATACAAAATACCTACTTTTCCTTATTAAGGGTTTTCTAAGGACTAAGTACGTTCTTTTTTATCATAGTAGTTATAATTATTAATCAAAATTGAGCGATGCAAAACGAGCGGCGGCCTATAGATGAAACTAAACAATATAAATAAATCGATAACGACTGGATCGACTGTATGCGCACTACTATCGCACAAAAATAGACTAAACACTGATCGATTTAAAAATTGTATGTATGTGATAGTCCATGACCGTGTAGGGGCGGTGTAGCTACCATATTAGCCTGTGGGTGTCGTACGAGGCGACAAGGAGAAACAAACCAGGGAAACAGACCAGATGGGCAGCAGCGTCTTCCTTAATAACAACTATATGCAGCAAGTACTTTGAAGAAAAATATTTTTCTCATAGAGGTGCACTAATGGAAAAGCTGCACAGACCTACATACCTAAACACACAAGCCTGTCACCCAGGAGACAGAGACTACGGATTTCCATTTGTCACGATCCTGGCACACCACTCTCGCCTCCTTTACATGCATATACATACTCATACTTGCTCTTCGGGTTCTCTTAATCTGGCCCATCTTCAATTTATCGCCATCGATAAACTATCATCTAAGGTGTCCCTTCCCGACTCTGCCATTAACTTCTACAATGTGGCGGCGCTGTCGTCGCGGCACAAGCGAAACACATCGAAGCCTAAATCGCGCTAACAAAGTTCCGAAATTAAAAACAGTATACATAGAATAGCTCCGAACTACCACTCGGAGTGTTCGCCACTCCCCGGGCAGAACACTCCTTTTCGTTCCACCCGCCACATACAACATACATTTTTGTCCCTCTTTCCTCATTCATTCTTAGCCAAACCACCGAAGCATTCCTTTCTTAATCCTGATCACAACATCATCTTGGACACCACACTTTTATCACACAATTTCTCACCCCGTCATTCAGATTCAGCCCTAACATACTGTCTATTGACCGCATTTCTACAGCATTTATTCTACTCTTATGCTTGTTCTGCCAAACTCAACTTTCACTACCATACTTTAATTGTGGTAGGAACTAACACACCATTGTGTATTGCCACACGTGGCTTTTTGACACACACATTCTGGCTTCCTACAATAGACAACATATCCAACCTAAACACTTATTAATAAAATTACCTCTTGACACGTTATTCTGCCCTCTCCGACGACCCTTTGTCCTTTAAAAAATCCATAAATAGGTAAGGCTCAAATTTTTCGCGCACTATCTAAAAATGCGCTCTCCGAGAAATTGAAGAGAAGAAATAAAATATCAAAAATAATAAATACTTTATTTTTATTATTAACTTAAAGAAATTCGCAATTTGTTCATCGTATTTGTTTTTTTATTTAAATATTATTCCATAATATCCCTATTTTATAATTTTCCTTCCTTACAATTTGTTGATGTCCGTGTACGTACACTTTTCTCAAAAACTATTCGAAATTTTTGAGAAACCGCTGTTGTTTTAGTCTGCGTATTTTATGGTCTACAGAAGATGAAAGGTTTAATTTTACTAAAACAAGCTAACTATATTATCAACGCGTTTTGATTATATATTTATTAATTTCAAAATGTCCTAAATTTCAATCCAGTGTGACACTTCAGTTGTGCAACGCTGATTTGGGATTTATTTATATTCTACCATGGAACTGCCAATATATTTAAAGTGGCAACACATGCCCATGAAATTCGACTAATTTCTGGATGCTTCCGCCATTTTGTTTTTGTGTCAGATGGATGAACGTGTCGGAACTCGCTACGTGTCATTAAGAAATTGTAAGTTTACTTTGTTATATTTTCGAAATTTAAATGGCTTTCCTTATTTAAGAAAGTAAATCATATCCTATCATGTATTTAATTGTCAAAATATAACAATTAGAATGAGCAATATAGTAAATTTCATGAATTATGATTTTTTTTTAGGCTAAGTTGTGTAGAATATTTGATCCGTTGCGCGACGTATGACACGAAATTGTGTGACGTGTCACAATGGAAATCGTAAAGCTGTGTACCCATCAACTTTCTACTCAATTTATGAAATCATACTAAAGTGCTTGCGAATTTTTTTTAATCTATTTGATAATCAATATTTTTCAGATGCCTTTGTCCGTGGCTGAAAGGTGCCGAAGGTACCGCGAAAACCTTAGACAATCTCCATCCAGAAAAAGAAGAATGTTGAGAGAACAAAGGCTAAAATATAAAAATAGCGATGAGAAAGCAATGGCGGGTAGTTAAACGCAATAAAAAAGAAGAAAAGGTGGAAAAGCTAGTCGTACCCAATATTGACAATAGGCAACGTCGCAAATATCGTTGTAAATTACTACGTGAAAACAGGATTTTGAAGGAAAAAACAAAACTTATATGTTACAAATAGCAGTCTTAAAAACACTATATTAAGATACAGAAAAAAAATTAATACTCTCACCAACCAATTGAATCAACTTAAAACCTGTAAGAAAAGTTACTCGAGAACTAAAAAAAAAATAAGATAAATAAGGAGATAAAATCAAGTAAAAGAGTTAGGAAGATAAATAAGGAATCAGTCACAACTTCTCAAGATACTGATACTAATGAGATTCAATACGCCGATACTGACGATTATTACACAAGTTTAGATGACGAGATGACTATAGGAGAAATAGAGACAGAAATAGTGTAAGAGACAAATTGAAACAATAAAGTGAAAGTTTTATCCGAGGTATGATTCGCACCTGAAAATCAAGCTTATTTTAACTTAAGTTATTACGGTCCACTAACGCTTACCCCAATAGACTGTACCAATTTTAATTTGTGGTCTCAAAATGAGAAAGAAAATAACACTAGACATGCTAATCCGGATTCATTGAATAATTGTTTAAAAGATAAAGACACAGATGTGCCTGAACTATATAAAATAAGAGACAGTATATTAGTAAGATACTACCAAAGAAAGAGCTGGAAATATTGCGTAGGCTTTATTGATAAGATTGAAATCAAAGATGATGACACTTTTTATGAAGTTCATTTTGTAAAGACAATTGAAGAACAAGATCGTAATATAAAATTCATAAAAATACCGAAAAACAAAGATATAGACATTGTTACCAACGTTTCAATAGTTAAAAAAGTTAAATTAACTGCACTTGAGAAATCAGGAGAGTACAGTTTAACTGATGATTGTGAGGAAATATTTTCGATACTGTTAGTGACACCTTGTATCATCTCATCTAGACTGTTTTTTTAATAAATATTCTTGAATTTTGCATATTATATTAGTTTTATTTAATAGTATACTCCAATAATTATGTAGGTAATTAAGTACTTACGTCCAGGCTATACCCAGATCACAGGATCAGGTCCGCCATCTCACACTGTGCAATCGTAATGAGCTAAGAATATATAATTGATCTCCCTCACTATTTCGAGGGTTATATTCTAGTATACTTAATTATTATTATTGATGTATAAATATAATTAAAACAAACAGTTAATGTATGAAAATATTTTAAAATCCATGTGCACTACACTTTACAAATTCCGTTGTACAACGTTTTTTTCTTTTTGACACATTCCGTTGTTATTTCCACTGTGCGACTGCGCAAAAAATATGAGCCTTACCCAAATACGTAATTAAAAATATTGAGGGTCACTTATCGGGATAAAAGTATTCTATCTCTCAAGCTGGACCAAACTGCACATAGTGTGCAAATTTCATTGAAATCAGTTCATTAGTTTAAGAGATTTCATCGCGGACAAACAATGTAACACGTAATTTTTTAGTATAAAGCTTCTAGACTAAAGTACCTATGTAGGAAAATCGCAAAATACCATTAAGGAGAGGTCATAACATTTTTACAATAATTTACTTATCTTTGAAGGAAAATATAAATCCAACAACTTTTGTTTGTAGTTTTTTTTATATTCCCAAAAAATTCAAAATTAAAGCCCAACTACAGGATATCTTAGTAATAACGTGTTATTACTAAGATGTCCTAGCTTACAATTACATACAAACTCATTTTTATTTTTATTATAAATTAAAGTAATAGGTAAGGATCTGAATATGTTTCGCAATGTTCTAAAAATTGACATTGTAATATTGTTTAATATCTGTTTAGTACACGCTTAGGGTACAGATAAACATAGCTTGCTTCTAAATATTCTACGAGTTTACTATCGCAGTTTGGTTTAAGTTATTAAGTTTTAATTTACATACACATCATAAGACGCATATATTTTTTTAAGAACAGCGTTTCTTTTAGCGACTTAGTATTAAAAAAAAAATAACTTTACGTATGAACTAAGTCGTAAGACTCAGAGAGAAGACATTTCTGCGTAGGAGTTCGTCTGGACAGGTATCACCCTCTTACATAGTACCTGTATAAATACAGGCTGTGAGTCATACCATCTCAGTAACATATGATGTGAAAACGACGTAGTCTCCTTTGTTTGAAGTTAGCTACTAGTGTCCATGGGCTGCATCATCAGGTGAACTGTAAATTCGTTGGTTACTTTAATTTTATAAAAAAAACGTTAAGTAATATATAATAATTTAAGTAGGTATCCAATAAAAGGTGTAATTCGGAATATTTCCCACATTCCGTAAACAGGTTATAAAATAAGTTAACTACTTACCCATCGAAACATCCAATACAGCATATCAAAAGTCCACTGCTGAACATATACGATGTTTGTGTGAGAGAGTAGGTAAATCAGGTTAGTTATTTTATAATCAGTTTAGGTATTTTTCTGTTTAGTCACAAGATTTGTTTTGAAGGTATGAGCGGACAGTCCCCTTGCAGTTATAGAATGATAACCCATATATAGGATATTTTTAGCTTATTTTATTGTAAAGAGACGGACCCAGGAAATAAAAGAAGAAAGAAAGAAGAAAGAAACTTTTTGAACTTGAAGAGAACAAATTTTGTCTTTTCGATGTTTTCCATCTAAGGTGTATTGCGATGCTGCAAAAGAACTGTTTTCAGAATAAAATGTTGCCGAACATTAAGGACGTTCCAGTCGTTGTACAACTGATTAGTAGGAAAAATGATTGGCCGGAAAGTAACCACTTTCAAAATGGCTGTGTGCCACCTCCAGCTTCTTTGGGTTAGTTTTTGAAACACCAACTCAGCAAGAAATTACAGTATGTAATAATAGATAAAAATAGGTTTAAAATATATAAATTAATTTACAAACTCTGCCAGTCGGAAGATTAATAAATGTAGCTTTTACAATTTTGGTTAAATAGGTATTTAATATGGCCTACAAAGGAAATGGTTGGACATTCGCAAGAGACCTAAGTATGTCTGTGGCAAGAGTGGACTTGGCTTGCAAGTTGGTAAATTTGGTTGGGATACTGAACTAATTAAATAGTTAATAAATCTAGTTTTCGAGGCATTAAGGGTAAGCGTGTGAAAGCCAATTTATTATAAGGTCGAAGCCAAGCTGGGCCTTGTGCTCAAATACAGACCATGTTTCGGCGACGAATGTTATTGCAGTATCATCTGCAAATGATATAATTCGGCATTTGTAATATTAAGGTTGCATAGATCGGTGACAAACACTAAAAATAGAATGTGACCTAATATACTTCCTTGTGGTACGCCGTAATAAATTGGGAGCTTATCACTATAGTGATCATCAATCCTGACAGTCTGGAAGCAATTTGTGAGTTAACTTTGAAAGAGATCTAGTTGCAAACCCCTGACACCTACCACCTCTTACTTGAGTAAGAGTTGAGACAGGAACGGTATGGAACGCTTAGAACGCTTGCAGTTAGGACCTTTTTGCCTTGATTCCAGTTCTGAATGACATGATCGATCAAACTTTGAACTGCATCGTTGATTTATTCTTGCGAAAGTCAAACTGCTGTGAAGATATTAAATTATTATGTTCGAGGTAGGAAACAACTCTTTTATTAATCAATCTTTCGAGAACCTTTGATAGAGTAGGTACTAAGAACCGCTATGGGACGGTAATTATTCGGTACGTTCTCTTGAAGGCTGGATGAATAATTGCCTTTTTAAGTGATGTGGGAAAGAGCAGTGTCGAAAGAAAAATTAAATATATGGCATAAGATCGGTGTCAGAGTGGTTGAATATTTCTTTTCAGGAAGGAAGGCGAATGACATCCCAACCGATAGCAGCTTTAGACCGTAAGGAGTCTATAACTGAAATAATTTCATTAGGATTTGTAGGATCTAGGACAAAAGATGAAGTCTATGTGATATTAGATGGGGTTTGAGGAGAGGTTGTTGTTTGAAAGGTTCTGCAGTTGATTGTATCATTTACAAGTTTCTCTCCAATCATTACAAAGTACGAATTTACACTGTTGACTGTGACACTGTGTGTGGTGAAGTTAATAAAGTTAGTAATTGTGTAGAAAAGGGTTAGTTTTAATGGATTCGTTACTCGTTTTATATTATCCCACAAGGTTTTTGGGTTATTACTCACTTTATTTAGTTACTGTGTATCATAAAGAGTGTGTATCATATATATTAAGGTTTTTGAAAAAAAAAAAGACAAGTGTTGATTTCTGTGAATAATTTATATTTCTGTTATTATTATAATACAATCGGAGCTACTTGTATCATATTGTTGTAATCGTCAAATCTCTATTATCAATTACTCTTATAATCTACAGTTTGTGCTTGTCTGCAAAAAAGTAGATTCCTTTCACGACGATCGTATCAATGCCATACATAATATGTTCTCTCACAGCCTTTTCATAAACCTCAATCAAATATTTTTGTGATTGTGTGAAGCAGCATCAACTAGTTTAACAGAGTTTTGTATTGATACTTAACACGTAAGTTAAGTAATACAATATTTCTCACTGGTATAGTATATATCTAGCACCATTTGGGTGAGGAGATAATGTAAGGACGCGACAGTTAGAAAAACCAATAATACTCTATGACGTCCACGACAGAAAAATAAATCTTTGGTAATTATGTGATGCAATTTAAAATTATTTATTTTACATTGCTAATTTAATCCGATAGAAAATTTTAACGTCGTAGAAATAACTGTGTAAGCTTGACAGAAACTATTGATACTTCCTTTGTGTGATAAAATTTATTAAATTATATTGTTAATCTGACAGGACAAATTCCTATTTGTACGACTCCTAACAAACAACATTGATATTACGTTTTTTTTTTCGTTATTATCAGTAACCTAAAATTTAACGAATGCTATTACTAATTAGTCTATGGCATGCACCATTACGCCTTTTTAAAACCCTGAATCAGTAAATTCTATAAAAAGGAAAATATTTCGTCACAACAATAATAACAGTACAAACAAAAATTGCACGAACTTTAATGAACCTGCCTTTTATTGCAATTACACGAAATTATGAATAATTCTATGCTATTTCAATGCCATTATCGCTATAATATATTGATAACGAGCATAAATATTTTGTACTCTCCTAAATTAATGAACATTTTTTTATAATTTATTTACAAATATTAATGACTAATATGATAAAGATTAGAAATTTGATGAATTTAATGAAAAGTTTAAAGCCAAATTATTATTCATACATCAAAGCAACAATCGACCTAAATGAATAAACCCTACTTATCTGTTATAATCAAATGATATACAACCCTTGTATTTATAGCAATAAAATTAAGTACCTAAGGAACAATACTGGGTTATCTCAGATAATGTGATGTTTAAGTGCTTCATATTAATTGAACGAAATAATTATAAGTGCCTGGCATTCTTGGTCCTTGTGAGGTTTCTCTCTTCGCTACAAAGCGATTTTTATTGAATATTGAAAAAAGTTACGGGAATGTGTAAGAGAGAAAATGCAATGGCTTTTCAGCTCAAGCCTAACTTATAGCACAGTTAACACTGATATATTCACAACAGTCGTTTTAAATGCACGAATGCAACAGTCTACTAACGAAAATTGACTACAAAATAAAAACAATGTCAAAAGATAATCGTAAAAATAAAACAATACAATCAATTATCAAATAAACAAATTCAAAAGATTAAAAAAAAACTCATCTATATGATGAACATTTGATGACTACTTAAAACTAGTGATAGGTACCGTACCGTAATACAAAACTCCCTCAGTAAATCGAATCTAAATCTACATCACAAATAACGAAATAAATAGATCTTAATCACCTGGTGCTAGACCAGGAACCGCCCAAAATTAAGTCAAACAACTGGAGCGATGTCTAAGTAAACGAACACCATTTACAACAGTCCACCTTTCCGACCGAAGAGGAGGGAACTTAATGTGCCTAAAGGGGATATAGACTGAGCGGGCGGACCAGGTGCTGGCGCCGCCCCTACTGTTCCCAAATCCGTTCGAGGCCGGGGTGCCCGTACTTTCCCTCGCCTTCCATTGGTTCCTACTAAATTTACATTATCCATAGCACTAGAGTCTAACGCCCCTTCTCCGGGATGGGCCGGGACTCCGAGGGGCGATTCCGCTGGATCACAGCGCTCAGGTGCCGCAGCTGGGGATCGTAGCGTTCTCTTCAGACAGGTCAGCTGTTCCATGGGACTACGATGCACAAGTCCCATGTACAAAGACCCTGGCGTTTGGAGCGCTAACGGTGATGGCGAGCCGTCTGCAGCGGGCGATGCGAGGTAGCGCCGGCGGAGGATTGAGGTTCCGCTCGCGATTAGTGCGTGAAGGGAGGGAGGAGCGTCGCCGGGTCGCGGTGTTGATGGTGGAGTCGACTCGGGTGAACCCAGCAACGGACTGTTCGCCGGCGTAGCCGTGGGGGAAAAGTGCGGTCGCGACGGCGGCGTGCAGAAGGATTCACGACGTGAGAGCACCGGAGAGACGGCTGCTGATGACCGCCTTGAAGTCAGTCGCGAACTCCATGCACTACCGAACACGCTACTTGATAGGCTGCTCATGCCGCTGCTGCAGACGCTGCTCACGCTACTACCTGCTAGACTCCCGTCATTCGGATGCAGCACGGTACTATAATAAAAACAAAGATCATAAATACTATTACACCCCGTAAAGGTTTTTAAATAGGGACAAAGTATCCTTAAGTTGAGCTGATGGCAGCAATGTTACATTGTCTGTTGACACGAATTTTTTGAAGAAGAGGCAATTCGGCATTTATCAAGATATTATTATCTTGTTTATATTATGTGTATTATATATACAGTCCTTTATATGTACAGTGAATTAAATTCGTAAAACATATAAACGGCATATTGAAATGGTAGAGCCAATGTTTTTTTTTTTATATAGGATCGGGTGACAAACGAGCACACAGTCCACCTGATGGTAAGTGGTTACTGTGACCCATAGACATCTACATCTATCCTCAATAAAGACTCAAGATGCAGATGCATTGTCACCCGTGAGGACTAAGATGGAATGCCTCTTTGCCAGTAAAAAGGGTGTCCGGTTCTCTACACTCACCATACGAAACCCAGCTGCGTTAAGCTGCTATTTTACGCTGGTTTTCTGTGAGAGCGTGGTCCTTCCCCGGTCGAGCCGACCCATTCGTGCTACAACCATAATATAGCTGCAGCATGGCTTTACCACGTTTCAAATTTTCAATGTACGGTCCAACCGTACATTTCTGCTGGCGTTAACATTTTACGCAATGTATAGCGATTGCATTGCGTAGTTTTACAATTATAAAAACTGAGTTAGTTCACGTTTTCACCGTAACCGCGACGGACGCGAACTCATCAACGTAACATTTAACATAAACATTTAGCATTATTCAACATATTTTAATCTAATATTTTTTACTTGTTTATTAAACTGTTTTAACATAAAATCTAAATTATTATTGAACAATCGTCCAATACCCGAACAGCCAAGCCAACCTTTACGTGGTAGAGCCACGCTGATACTATATTAGTGGTATAGGCACGAATAGGTCTGCTCGACCAGGGAAGGACCACGCTCTCACAGAATACATAGCAACTCAACCAATACTGCTGTGTATCGTATGGTGAGTGTAAAGAAACGGAGACGAATTTCTTGAAGTGAAGAATCGGAACAATTTTATAAAGGCACTCTAGAACATTATGAAATTAAATAGGGATTAATTAAAAAGTTAATGAATTTAAAAATATATATATTATTTCCTTTACAAATTTGTAAAAAATATCTATGCGCAAGGTATGCAAGTAATATGTAGAGTGAAAAAGCCACATTGTCTTATGATGTAACGTTCAAAATCACATTAAATCAAAGTTCAGTCTACTTCTTATAAAATATTGATATACCAAACCAGTTGTGCACATTCTGACGGGTAGGGGGTGAATGATTCATCACCAAGCCAGTTTTCAGCTTTAATTTTGTTTACTATATGACAAATATTGTCTACTTAAATTACATGGACCACACGTTTCTCGTAACGCTTAAAAAGTTTGACGAATTAAACAGCCGTTTTGATAATAAAGTTTAAGGGCCGGCAACGCATCTGCAATTCCCCTGGTGTTGCAGTTGTTCATGGGCGGCGGTAGTCATTTACATGCTCGTTTACCCCCTCTTCTATTAATAAGAAACCATCTTTTTTCTTTTTATTTTATAGGATAAGGGTGACAAACGAGCACACAGTCCACAAGTATCCTCGATTACGAATCAAAATGCAGATGCGTTGTCACCCGTGAGGACTAAGATGGAATGCCTCGTTTCCTGTAAAAAAGGGTCTCCGGTTCTCTCTCAACATACGAAACACAGCAGCGTTATGCTGCTATTTTACGCTGGTATTCTATGTGAGCGTGGTCCTTTCCCGGTCGAGCCGACCCATTCGTGCTACAACTATACCAGTATAATATAGCTGCAGCATGGCTCTATCACGTAAAAAACTAGCTGGCTAGCTATAACACAAGAGGATTCTCTTTTCCTATATAGGACAATTATGATACTCTGGTCTATACCCATAAAATTCAGAAGACGCAATTAAAGGTTAGTGACCAATTCTTCGCCAAACTTCGCTAATTGGGCTTTACTGCAACTACATCTCAACCCCAATTTTTCGCATAAAATAATAATTAGGGATGAAGCTCATTTTTAGCTGATAGGCTTCCGAAATAAGAAAACTTGTTGAATTTGGCCAAATCAAAACCCTCAAGAGATTCATGATTGGCTATTGCATCTGAAAGTGACTTTCTGGCGCGCATTTTTGCTAGGAGTTTAATAGGTCCTTATTCAAAAATAGTTTTATTAAAAATAATCATGTAGATTCTGTAAATACTAGGAACAAGCACAAGTTAGTTATACCACTTACTCGACTCCAAATAGTCAGTAACTTGGGGGCAATGTACATATACACTTTTACAACAAAGTCTCAGAAAATATGCAGACCTTTTCTATCAAAAGAGTACATAACTGATAACAACCCCTGGGAAATGAGGTGATCGCTACCATGCTGTTTCTAAATGTTTTCAAAACAATTGTATAAGATATATTATTGTATATTGCGCTTTTTTTTTTAAAAAGTCCCGCTGGGTTTCTTGCTGGTTCTTCCCAGGACAGAGGTTTTTTTGCGAACCAGTGGTAAAAGTAAAAAATGACTCAATAAGTATTATGTATTGTAATCTATATTGACTAAATATGATTCTATTCTATTCCATTCTATTTTTTTAATGATGCTCTGTTGCAGTAACTGTGATCATGCTTGGCTTATGATTCAGAATCTTCTTTGGCTAAAATTAGAAGAAATTAATCTGATAGACATCTGGTTTCAACAGTACGGCGCTGTTTATCATAGAACCAGAGTAACAGTCGATTTATTGACGAGGAAATTAAATGGGTTCTTGATCTCAAGTTTCAGGGCCAAGACATGGCCTCCAAGATCATTTGATTTAACGATCCTTGTTTATTTTTAAGTGATTATGTGACATCATTAGTATATACAAACAAGATACAGACTGTCGAAGAACTTAAGATTAACATAACACGATTAAAGCTTAACGCACATTAATCCGCGCCGTACGCGCCGAATTTTAGAATTCGTAGTATGAAATCATATGAAACTTCGCACATTACACCCGCACCGTACGCGCCGAATTTTATAAAATGCGGTAGGTATACGATATCGAAGGGCGAATGCTGATGACGTCATATAACGCGGCGCGTTTGGAGCGTGTTGATACTCAGTGTTGTCTAATGTTGCCAACTTAGTAGATTTTCCACTAAAACTGGTGGTTTCGCCTTTTGTTTTGAATTATATTTTTAAGTGTTAAGTGTACACTGCGGTTAGAGGTTAGCAGAAAAATGCTGTAACGAAAATGAAATTCCGATAAACGTTGTGAAATTAATACTTAGTGATAAATTATGTAAATACATTAAAAAAATTGATAGTGAATTTTAATTCAAAAACCCAATTATACCTGATTACTTAATTATCAATAAAAATATCTCAAACATACAACAAGTCTTTCCTCTGGTTCAGTTGGCCTTCTAAATCTTGAGTTTTTCATAGAAAGATATAGTTTTAATATATATAACAATTCTTTAAAATTTCTTGTATGTTAAATGCAAATATCTAGAAAATCGTTCATCATCATATAACAAGTATTTAAATAAAGTATAATAATCTCCATACAATTGCCTTTTTAAATTAATACTATGAATACAGAATCTTCTTTTTCTTCGAATTTTGTTTTCTTTTTCCTCTGGCATAAGCAGGTTATTACAATATTTTTTTCCATACATAGTGATTCTGAGCGATAAATGTCTTCAATCTAATCTATCTAATGTACCGTTTCACACCAGTGGTTGGAAAAAACTGCAAGAGTTGTTGGCAATCCAAAAAAAAAAAGATTTGCGTACGCGCGGACAAATGTGCGTTCAGCTTAAGGAAGCAGAAGTGCCATTATTTCAAACATTGATGGAAAATTGAACCATTCGCATTCACGCTTCCATACGAAACCGATCGAAATTTGAATGATATGATATTTCATGCATAATAGAAGCGTAACAGGGTAAGCCTTCAAATATAATCGACACAGAAGCAAGCAATGTGTTTTTTAGTTTAAATCTACCCTGTACCTATTGCAAACAAGTAACATAAAATTGATATGTAGATAAAAGGTACACTACCTGTTGGTGAATGTATATATGTGGCTTGAATGCGGTAAGCGTGGCATATCGTCATCCTCTTCGACATCCGATAATCTATATAGTCTCATACCGACGCCCGTAGCGGATCTAGATCCGCGAACACCAACGCCTTCTTGTTCTTCCAATAAACCTTAAGAAATAACAAAAGCAGTAAGTACCTATTACACAATAATTGTAAACATTTAAATACACATTATCGTTTTTTACCTGACATAGTGGGCTTGGCGAGCTGCGCCCAAGTATGTAAAGTAAGGGAACCTTCCAAAGGCTTGACTATTTGCAATTTGTGAGGTGCACGAAATCTTGCAAGACCACCGGCTGCGCCTACGCCCCATACTGCACTCTCTTCGCTGATGTCCCGCTCTGCACATAACGATTCTAGTTTTGTAAATATTTATTAAAGATAATTAACTTTGATAAAAATAATTGAGTGGACATTTATCATCAAAAGACAGGTACGCATACGTATACATATAAAGTATGTGTTCCTGTCACCTATCAATTGGATAATTAGTGGTGAGAAATAATACGCCAATATACAAATAAATAAAATTGAAGTGTATGTTTGTAATGTCAAAATAACAGTTTTATACTGAATGAATAATTATGAAAGTGTATACTGTCTTTATAACAAAAAAAAAAGAATTTTTAAATTTTTTGTCTGTCTGTCTGTTAATCTAGTAGACGCGAGTGTATTCACGCTCACTAGCGCGATTTCAGAATGTTTTTAAGGTAACTATTAAGTTGAACGCACATTTGTCAGCACCGTACGCGTTGCATCTTACTGATGGCCTCCCTCATTTGCACGTATGCGCCGTCCGCGTCGTACGCAAATCTCTTGTATTGCCAACAACTTTTGCATTTTTTCCAACCATTGCACTGGTGTGAACGGTACAGTGACATTGATCCTTCGGATCGCTATGGGAAAAAATACTGTAGTGGTCTGCTTATTTGCAGAAGAAAAAAATAAAATTCAAAGAAAAAGAAGATTCTCGATTCACAATATAAATTTTATAAGGCAGTTGTATGGAGAATATAATACTATATTTAAAGACTTATTAGATGATGATAAACGACTTTTTAGAGATTTGCATTTAACATACAAGAAATTTCAAGAATTTATACATATACTAAAACCAAATGTCTCTACGGAAAACTTAAGATTTAAAAGGCCAATTGGGCATAGGAATGTAGAAGTATTAAGACAGTAATCACAAAAGTCACTGATAACAGTAAATACTCCTGAAATGACGTAAAAATATAATTCGAAACGAAAGTCGAAACCACCAGTTTTAGTTGAAAATACACTAAGTTGTACAGAAAATACACTAACATTTTTGCATCCCTTTGCATTTTCTTTCGCATTTACCACGGGGAGTGCTCTGAGGAATTGTTCGGATAAATCCCAGCCGCCAAATTTCACGAACGCACATCGCGGCGGAATTCCCGATACCATCCACACCATCTGGATGCTTGGCGATCCACCACTGTGCGATTTAGAAGATGTTTTCTTCCTCGCACAACTTTCTTGTGGAATCGATTACCATCAGTGATTTTTCCGGACCGATACGACTTAGGGACCTTCAAAACAGAGCCTACTCCTTTTTAAAAGGCCGGCAACGCATCTGCAATTCTCCTGGTTCCCCTGGTGTTGCAGTTGTTCATGGGCGGCGGTAGTCACTTACCATCAGGTGAGCCGCATGCTCGTTTGCCCCCTCTCCTATAAAAAAAAAACTGAGTATCAGCACGCGCCGAACGCGCCGCGTTATATTACGTCATCAGCATGTGTCCTTCAATATTCGGATACCTATTGCAATTTATAAAATTATGTAAGGTGCGGGTGTAATGTGCGAGGTTTCACATAATTTGATACTGAATATTCTGAAATGCGGGGCTTACGGTGCTGACAAATGTGCGTTCAGCTTTACGAGGCGAAATGGATTCCAGACATAGTATATAGTAGGTATATATTTAAAAGTGTGTAGGTGGTGCGCGTACCCGTGTGCCTGCGGTGTCGCAGCACGTGCGAGGCGGCGAGCGAGGCGCGGCGCGAGTTGATCTCGTGCGGCGTGAGGCGGCGCAGCGCGGCCGCCAGCTCCGCCGCGCCCGGCGCGCCCGGCACGCCCACGCCCGCGCCGCCGCTGCAACGCAGCGCATCGCATACAAACACCTACACTCCACAAATCTAACAAATACCTTTTCACCTTTCACGTTAATCATTCCGCAATCACTTTGTACAAGCGTACTCACACGATTTAAAATAGAGAACTAAATATATAATAGAGTTCTTTATCACTAATTTAAATTGGAATCTTTCACAATTTAACCAGAATCAACTTTTTTGCTTGACATTGTTTCAATTCTATACCATTAAGTACCATTATGTACCGTGGTGTTGGGATGATTTCATGCTAATACAAATAATCAGTAAAAATATTCAAATATTCGAATGTTTACATTTTTAATTTCTTAGGTATTTGTTTATTCAAATTTTTATTTTTAAACTTGTTTATAGTTAATCTCACTGCGGCGAAGTAGCAAGTAAGTTTTGAAGATGCCGGCTTTTACATTGGTAGTATAGTCACTGAGAACTATTATAAAAGGAATTGGCTTCCGATAGAAAAAAAAATTGAGAAACACAAAATATTTTTTTCAGAGACAATGCAATTTATAACTTTTTTACTAGAAATAACTATGATACAAATTGATATGCTGCAGCTATATTAGTTGTAGCACGAATGGATGGGCTCGACCGGGGTAAGACCACGGTCAAAGTTACTAGTCGAACCGACCCATTCGTGCTACAAACCCAAATATTGTCGCAGTGTGGCTTTACTCCGTAAAAGTTTATTTTATGATCAATTCCACTTTTAATTACTAATCTCATATCTATGAATAAGCCCATGACAAAAAGCCGTTATAGCTCAGGAGCTGAGCGCTCGCAGTGAAAACAAACAAAAGTTGATCACAGTATACACAGTATAGTACAAACCGCGTTTGTTCTCAGACAGAAATAATGAATTGCAGTTATAAGTGCTCATTAACTACGTTCGTACTCGGCCGTGACGAAATACGATCGAGTCTTTAGAATATAGAATTAAAACTAGAATTAAATCCAGCGCCTATCACTGAAGCAGCGCGGCGGACTAATTGGTCCATAGCCCTCTCAGAAACAAAAGGACTGCGAACGGTAGTAAGATATATATATAGACTGTAGCTTTGAACTCACGGATAGAGGTCCTCAGATTCAGCGTCGGAGGAATCATCCAAAAAGGAATCGGCGGAAGGCGGCTTGAGCGGTGGCTTCAGATATGTGGCGGCGAGCGGCGCGTCCGCTACGTCAGAGCCCGCTAGCGACGCGCCCGACGCACCCGACGCGCCGGACCAACGTGACGCGCACTGCACGGTCTCAAACACTTTCTGCATGCTTGAACTGTAAACAATAAACACAATTTTGAAAACCCATAAACAATCACGCCTGTCACCCAGAGGGGTAAACATAGACTACGGACGGCCTTGGCACGACCTTTACAAACTTCTTTCGCCACCTTCACCATAACGCACACACACTCGTCGGTTAAGGGTGTTCATAATTTGGCTCATCTTCAATATATCGCCAATTTAGTCGAATTTCCGTCTAGGGGCTTCCCTTGCCGATTCTGCTATTCACTTCTGCTTCATTTTGTAAACCGCCTTGATGTGCATTTCACACAGTGCTCAGTACGCAAAGGACTTCTCTCCCTGGACATCTACAAGTCGAGCAGGACTGACGGAATACTTCCAATTGTTGAGGACGTATGCTTCAGAGTTGGCACCGGTTCTAACGCGTAGTCCCGAACTAATGGAAGACAGCTTTGGTGCACCCAATCCCTAAAAAAAGGCGACCGCTCATATCCGTCCAACTACAAAATAATGGAAACAATTATAAACTAGAAGCTCATGAGGTACCTTGAGTATCATCCGCTGATTAGTGACCGCCAGTACGGTTGGTTTCCGCCGGGGTCACTCAGCTGCTGATCTTCTTGTTTACCTAACGCACCGATGAGAGACTTTGGCGGTCAGTTTGGACATAGCGAAGGCATTCGATCGGGTTTGGCACCAAGCGCTTCTTTCGAAGCTTCTTTCTTATGGGCTTGTCGAGAAATTGTGCAATTGATCCAATTGGATCACAGTTTTCAGGCTGATCGAAGCATCAAGATCGAGTAGAAGGTGCATGTTCCGATTACAAGCCTATTAACAATGGTGTTCCATAAGGCTGCGTGCTATCACCACCGCTGTTTCTTCTGCATATCAATTATATTATGTTGCAAATCGGTAATATTAATTGCTATGCTGACGACAGCACTGGTGATGATTGATACACCGGTCGTGCCAATATTTCTCGGGAAAACGTTGTCCAGTACCGGAACAAACTTCTGTCTGGAATCGAGACTATTGAACAAAGTCTCGGATTGACGCGACTAAATCTAGTCCAGTTCAATCCCCAGAAGACACAAGTTTGCGCGTTTACCGCTAAAAAAGAACAGCTTTGTCGTATCTCCTCAGTTTCAGGGCACTCCTCTTCTTGCCTCAGCCAGTATCGGAATCCTCGGCGCCGACATATAGAATTACGTGCAGTTTCGTGGTCACTTGAAAGAGAAGGCCGAATTGGCATCTAAAAAGCTTGGCGTGCTCAGCAGAGCGGCACAGTATTTCATGCCAGCACACGGCCTGTTATTTTACAAGGCGCAGGTTCGGCCTCACATGCAATACTGTTCTCATCTCTCAGCCGGGGCTCCCCAGTGTCAGCTTCTTCCATTTGATCGCATCCAGCGCAGAGCGATTCGAATAGTCGGCGACCGAGCTCTTTCAGGTCAGTTTGACTCACTGGCGCTGCGAAGAGATCTCTTTGCGTTTTATATCATATCTACCACCGGGAATTCTCATAGAAATTGTTCGGATTAATTCCAGCCGCTCAATTTCACCACCGCACATGGCGGAAAAACTCGAGATACCATCCACACCATCTGGATGATTGGCGGTCCACCACTGTGCGATTTACAAGAAGTTTTCTTCCTCGCACAGCTTCCTTGTGGAATTGACTACCATCAGCGATTTTTCCGGACCGATACACTTTGGTACCTTCAAGAAAAGAGCGGGCTCATGGGCGGCGGTAGTCACTATCACGTGAGCTGCATGCTCGTTTACTCCCTCTCTGTAAAAAAATATTTTTTTATTTATTCTTCGAAAGAGTGTTACATTATTTACATTTTAAATTTTGCCAAACTGTAAGCTAGTTTGTCGGCAACGCAACAGTTTAACGTTTCACACTCCTTAACAATATAAGTTACTTATAAATACTTAACACATAAATAGTTAAAGAAACATTCACCAATGAGGACACAAATAATCTGTCGCTACCTATTCAATTTATAGTTTTATTATTTTATAACAGGGAGGGTAAAACCAGAATAGGAATTATAAATATTTTAAACGGATACACAATTAACCTAGGGAATAAACGCTCGTCGTTTCATACAAGTTACTTGAATTCGATTTCCTCCGGCTAGTAATGAAAGTGGCTATTGCAATTTTAAGTGCTGAATTGACACGTTCTCGGTGCTACAGGAAAAGATCAAAATTCAGTCCAATACCAAAGAAAAAAAAAGGAAAACATCTTGATGTGAGGTAACATCCATGGCTAAGTAATTACGAAACATACTAATTACTTAGCCATGGATGTTACTAAGTCTGTTAATACGTATTGGAAAAGCGTTGCATTTAAAACCAGCTATAATAGGCTGTTACTCTTCTTTTGTTTATTGTTTTACACTGAAATTAATTTTTCTAATCCAACATCCGATATTAAGTAAAGCTGAAAGGGTTTTAAAGTTGAAAGTTACAGCGGACTACGTCTTACTCCTGGGCACAGGCCTCCTTTCATTTCTAAGAAGGTCTAGGAAAAGTCCGTAGTGCTGCCCTAATGCGTGTTGGTGGACTTCACATGTCTTTGAAATATTTTTTAATTTCTAAGACAGGTTTCCTCACGATGTTTTCCTACACTGTAGAGCACATCGTAAATCAGCAATTAACATCGTAATTAAGAATTTAATTGATGCCGGCGGAGTTTTAATCTGGGTTGCTCGCGTACTGTGATATTAACAGCAAGCGCTTAGAAAGGGAACTGTTCAAATGAAGAAAACTACTTTTATGTATTTTATTGCATATTTACATTTTTAATTTCCGTCGTTTCTGATGCTTGCAGCAACCAAGGTCAAAGGGTCGGGGGGGGGGGGGTATTATTACCTGGGAACGATAAAATCTGCAAAAGTAGTTTTATTCAATGTGTGATCGCGTAAATATAAGAAATGATTGTGTTCAAATGCACTACATTCCTGCAAAACCCAATATACGGTGTTAATGGGAGACTTCAATGCAAAGCAAGAGAGAATAGTGAGCTGAAAGTAGGGAAATTTGGAATAGGGCAACAGAACCCAAGGGGCCAGCAGCTGTCCGACTTCATGGAGAAAGAGGGAGTCTTTATGATGAACTCTTTCTTCCAGAAGCGGCCCCACAGGAAGTGGACCTGGTCGAGCCCCGACGGTTCGACAAAATATGAGATTGACTTCATTATGACGACCAGACGACAACTGTTCAGTGATGTCTCCGTGATCGCGAGGGTGAAAACTGGTAGCGATCACCGAATGGTTAGAGGCTCACTGAACCTAAACGTTAAGTAAGAGAGGTCTCGTCTAATGAAGTCAACGCTCCGTCCCCCTCGTGCTCTAATCCAAAGTCCCGAAACCTTTCAGCTCGAGTTACAAAACAGTTTTCAGTGCCTAGAAGACTGCAATGAAGTGGACGATATGAATGACAAGCTCGTGGAAACTGTCCATGCGGTCGGAGCTAAGTTCTGCAAGACCCGCCGCAGAAGAACACAAAAACTCTGTACACGCCCATAGCTGTCCCGACAAAGGTCGACTATACAGGGGTCCATACAGCTGTAGACTCGACGGATAACTAAGGACGGGGCCCAAATGGCCTTATGGAAAATGTCCAATCCTACTACACAACAGGGAGAAGACTAGGTGAATAAATAGTACGTACCTGTTCGCTGGCGAAGAAGGCTCTCAAGGCTCGTTCAGGCGTAATTGTCGTGAATGTGAGTAGTGTGTTAGAAGTGTAAATCTGTGTAACCGGAATTAGCTCTTTTAATCAGCAGCCACGCTGACTCCGGCACCGCCCCCCGGCGTGGTATTCTCCAGCGGCGGCAGCAATGGACTATTTCCTTCTTCAATTTACTATGTCAGTCTATTAACTTTATCGTACATTTAACTAACTTCAAGACGCAACTAAATTATAATCAAAAACGTAACACGCGGCACGACTGATGGGTCAAAGTTCACTTTCGTTCACTTCGCAACAAATTATTTAAAAAACCGAACACGTACTTTTAAGGCGCTTAACGCAACGGTACAATTAAACACTAACTTCTCAATAATTAGCCAACCTGTCGTCTAATGTTCTAGACTACACGATTATTAGTCGCTGCACAAATCCGTTAACAAATTCGGCGCTATAGGCAACCACGCGGCTCCATTCGACTCACAGCAAGCACTAATAGCGAATTTAACGTGCATGAATACTAAAATCTAGACCACCACTGAATCTGGTTGCGCGAAAATACGCTGCAGCGGTCCCTACAAAATACGTGGATTAACCGCACCGCTGCTCTGAATCTACTGTTCGACTCGACCCAGCCGCCGGTAGCAACTAACTGCCTGCAATCCCCGGACGCGGCCCGCTGGCAACAAAACTCCCGTTAACCGCCCACACGTCTAACCGGTTATGAACGCGCCGTATCGAGCCGAGCGCCCTCTGTGTCAAATCTTGAAACCAGCGTTTGGGCGCGAACAAACCCTCGTCCTGGACATAAGGGACTTATGTCCGCGAGCAAACCGGCAAGCGGGACAGGGACGCGACGGCACGTTGCAAGACCGAATCTACAATCAAACTAGGCTACCTTAGGCACCCCATCAGATCTTGCAACCTTAACAACCGCCTCAAAAATACAGCCCCAATGTGGGCAAGCCGGTGGGTCAAACCTCCACTGGATGCCCTTCCTGGACATCGCAGCACCTAAACAAGTCCTGTTACTGGACAGAAGTCCGACGACCTCTTTCAAACACCTATCTGTTCCCCTATGATTCGTTCCGCAATCCGACCGGATCAGGTCTGCAAACAGCCACGCGATACGAAGCGGCCCAGCGTGGCCACCTAAGTTTCAGTGCAGAAAGCACCCACCAGTTCCACATGAACGGCGTCCATGGAGAGCCAAACGAAACGCACAGATAGTCCCCAGTAAGAAATTTTCAAGCAAGCAGGCATAACCAAGCCATCCACCATTTACTCATTTACTCAATGGTGCGGCAGCTGATTTCAATCTGATAATCT